ACTTAGGATGAAGGAATTAATTTGCTTTTCAAGCCCTGCTCTTTGAAAGCTTTGCCATATGTCAGAGGAGAAAATACTTCCCAATTGCCAGAAAATAACAGATTCTGGTTAGACTTGTTCATTAGGTATGTGTCTGTTTATAATGCACCTAAATGCTATCTTTGTACTCAACCATAAATTGGTAGGTTTTTGCTCAAAGAGGACAATAATATGACTTCTAAATCACTAGTTTCATAAACTGATGCTTCCACTGCTAATGTGCATGATTCAGGAGTCCTGGGGTCTGCCCAGTTGCTAATGAAGTTAAATTAATGTCAAAGTCAAGCCTGGATTAGCTCTGTACAAGATTTGTTTCCAGACTGTACGATATGGATTGGCATACATATGTTAATACCTCAGCCTGTTAAGCTAACAGGATATTTTGTCATGAACCTCAGTGACACCTGGAATGCGAGCACTAAGTCTTTTGCACAGCAGAGCAAAAAGAGATTTTTTTTCCACAGCCTTTTTTTTTTTTTTCCTCACACATCTGATTCACCCTGCCCCAAATGGCAATGCTTCTGACCTCTTTAAGATCTGTATGTTATGTTGTGAGCACTGATGGATTAAAGTAGGTTTTGAAACTTTCCATCTTTTATTCTGAGCCTATGAACTCCGAGCTACTAAATATCAGACCAGTAATGAGAACAGGAAAGATGGCAAGGGATAAATTAACCTATTAAAAATGTGCATTCAAATTACTTAGTCCTGCAAACCAGACAAGTAAAAAAATGCTCAGTTCATTTGAAGTTCTTATTTTTTTCTAAAGTCCCAGTCAATGAGGAAGGCCAGAAACACTGCTGAGGCTGGAGCAGTGGGAAAAATACGGATGGCAAGGGCTCATCCAAGAGAAACACCGGTGGTTCAGGGGGAGCTGCCTGAAGGAGGGTCACACAGATGCTTCATTTTATCTTATTTTTTTCCTTTTTTTTTTTTTTTTTTTTTTTTTCTGCAACGTGTATGTTTGCTGAGAAGTTGGCTTCTAGCAAGGCTGCTGCGCCTTGCCCTGAGCTGAGCTGAGCCAAAACGCTCCCTGCAATGCACAGTCTGAGGGCGAGGTGCCAGCCTCTTCTCCACAGTCACACCTCCGGGATGGAGACTCAAATGGCTTTGCTTGCTCAGCATTTTCATTTATTTTAAGTCTCTCCTGATGATTTAAATAGCCCCGGCCCTGCTGGTTGGCTTTGACACAGACATTACTTCTGAGTGCAAAACAGAAAGTGGAACCAATCTGGTCAAAATGGGATCTAGTAACAGTGGTGACTTGCAAAGTGGCTGCTGCTGATTGCACATGCAAGTTTTTACTGGTGGTCAAAGTGAGGAGGAAGAAAGAAAGCATGTGTGCACACATTGCATCGTCATGGAGGAAGATGTGCTTTCACGTGCTTTTATTTTTCATTACCCCTGATGTGGTCCAGCATTTGGTATTTATGATCTTTGAAGTTGCCTTTCAACTGAACAGTTCACTATTCTATATTCTATTCTGTTTTGTTGAGTTTCCCTTTAGGAAAATAAATAAATAAATAAATAAATATATCTTGTGGAAAACAGAAAATAGAGGGTTCCATTTAGAGGTAGTTACTAGGCTTTTTACTCTACTGGTAGGGGGAGGGTTGGACTAGATGATCCTGGAGGCCTTTTCCAACCTTAATGATTCTGTGATTCTAAGATCATGTTATTTCCCATGCTCTGCCAAACACGATTTAAAGTAGGCCCCGAGTGCTAGTGCTGGCAGGAGTGCTGCCCAACCAGAGGTTACTCCATAAAGCTCTGATCCCACCTGGGTATGCACAGACCACTCAGTCTTGCTGCGTGTTTGGAAATTCAAGAGCAGTTTTGCGCTCTGACTCTATGACTGATATTGGAAATTAAGATTGATTTTTAAAGCAAAAACCATGACACAAATAAATATATGCTCCATATAGAAACTCTAAGGAAGGAAAGAGAGAAAACTCTAAATCTGATATACAGTCATAATTATATATTCATTCTGAATGTCTGAAAAATCCTGTAGATTTTTTTTTCAGTTGATTGAGGTCCCATTCGTTAAAAGAAAATGGAAGACTTGTCAAAGCCACTATTTTATTTGACTGAATAAGGCTTTGAAAGGTAAACAGTGTATATATAGAACTGCGAGCTTATTTCATATCAGTGTTTTCTGCTTAGTTGTCATGTAAGTCCATGTAAAGTCCTTAAAAAGTGCGAATCCACTATTTAGGTTTTTTACGCAGTTTCTTCTGTATATGGGTTATATTTATGTACTTAGATGATCATATTTAAATAATTGATTTTAGACTAGTCATTAACTATGCAAAACCCAATTCATGTTAAAAATTCAGGTCTCTTCCTATAAAAACTCAATGTCACTCTTGTTTTTTATTGCATATCAGTAAATTATGAATCAAGTGTGCTCACTTGGCCAATAAAGGCTGTTTTTTAAGACAATAAGATTATACAGTGGCTTTCAGGATTATATTTAGTCAACAATTAGGTTGATGACTGAGTCAGAAAGTGATTCAGCTCGCTTCTAGAGCTGTGTGGGTTCTGCAAGGCAAATGGGATACCAATCTTGCATATTTATTTCCAGAGGGAGAGCAGATAGGAGATGCTCTGTGCAGATTGGAGCAGATCTGCTGGGTAAGAAAGAAAGTGTCTTATCCAGCCTACCTGGCAGTTTTCCATAATCACTTTTCAAGGTAAACTTGTGCCACTGCTGAAAATTTCATAGTGTACTAAATTACATTTTTGTGCTTCTGACTGCTTTTGACTTCCTAAAGGTGAAATCCAGTGCAGACCTATTGTCTGTATGGACCTATCTCAAGACCAACATATTTCACTTCGTAAGACCTAATGCTTTATAAACACATTTTGGTTGCAGTAGGCCAGACTTTAAATGTTACCCCCCACTTCCAGCTTTTGCTTCTAAAGACAAGAATTTAAAAGCTACCTCTTTTTACTACTGGGAAGATTGCCTGGGCACTGGAGGTGAATTCAACAGCTACTCAGGGGCTTCATATATAACTAGGAATACATCCTGTGCAGTGTGCTGTTATCAGAAAGCTGTATCTGTTGTAGAATGTCAAAACTTGATTAAGTTGTGGGGAAGGAGGGAGTGATGTACTATAAGTCATTCATGCACAATCATTTGTAGAGCATTTTATGTCAGCTATAACAGTCTAGAGTGTGCTAGCAGAATATAAATCTCCTGATCAAAAGAAAAGAACTCTTTGTAACAGGCTTTATTATTGCAATAGCAGTTCACGTTAAGTAAGTATATTTATTCTAGCCCCATAGTTTTCAGTTGATACTGAAAACCTTTTATCATTTAAGCTGAAATTTCTGCTCTGCCTTTACCAGACCATGATTTGTGTGGAATTCTTATTCTTGTGCTTTCAGCTGAACTGTTTCACTTCCAGTTTCTCAGTCTCACATATTTAAATTTACCTTTCTCATTTTAATTTATGTCTTTCCCCACTGTATTTGGAAAAAACATCTTTTTTTTTTCCCATTCCCTGCAATCTGAAGGTTTATTTCTTTAATGTCTTGCTGTACTTCCAGTAGCTTGAGTTCACTAGACTGTAGCCAAGTAGAGCAACAGGCTTAGAGCAAGTCCAACCACAGAATTTGTGTAGTTCCTAAGCATTACTGTTCTGTGCAATGTTTCTGCGAGATGTAGTTGTTGCTGTAACTTCGGATGTGAACTGAAGTTGGGCGTACAGAAGAACGTGACCTGACCAACACATTAGAGGGTCTTTGCAGCTCCAGATCACAGAATGGGAAACCTCTTGCTCTGATTCAGCTGGGAGAGCAGATGCTGAGACCCAGTCAGCCACCTGGTGCTAGGAAGACTCCTTCCTGTTCGGCAGAACTTCAAACAATAAATTGTGCTTTCTGCTTTTCATCAGGAAGAACACTGTTCAGAAAGTCCTAAGACTGAGGGGAATCTGTTAAATAAGGCACAATATTTATGGTATCCAACTCTTAGCATCATGAGCATTACCCCCAGCTGCCTTCTGCAGAGGGACGTAGAGCTGCTTGCTCTTAGCACTGCCCTGTCCATTATGCCTGCCCGTGCTGCCCCTCTCAGGTGCATCGATTTTGTGTGTTTGGCAGTGGCACAGCTTCTGCAGGAGAAGAGGGAATGTCCCTGTCCCTGCAGCCCTTACCTGGTGACTCAAGCACTGCCACAGGGAGCATGAAAAACATTCCTTTTAAAATGGAGCTTAATAAGCTCGTGGAAGGGATTGGAGGAGAGAAGGTTGTGAGGCCTGGTGTCTGTGTCCCTGGTATTGCAGGCGTGATGTTCCTAATTCGACTTAATGTAATCTAGTGTCTGGCTGGATAACCTCGTTACACTGATACAGGGCTGCCAACCTTTAGTGCCTCTTTCCCACCTACCCCCTCTTATGAACTAAAATAAATACTTGAAACCTGCCACAAAGGTGCAAGATCATTTAAAAGCCAGAGCAATGACAGTATAGGACTGTGAGGCTTATTCCATTCTGTGAGGCAGAGGACCAGGCTGTGCACTGTAATGCTTAAAAATATTCCACGTGATATGGGGTAGTGACACTAGCCATGTAGAGGAAGACAGAGACTATAGAGGGGAAGTTTCCTGATGAGATCTGTCAGACAATGGATACATTTCCAAAGGAGTTAGCTGCCATGCCATCACTTTGGCCTGGTTTTCAAAATGTCCCGACTGAGTAGTCATTGCTTTCTGTTGGGTCTACACAGATGAATTTTCTAATGGTATCCAAAGTAGTGTATTGACCTGAAGTAGTCACGTCTGAGCTCCGTGTGTTTCCACTGCAACTGTGGCAAGGGAATGAATTCAGATCTGCATGTGCTAACTCATGTCAGATACTCACGTTAGCCCTGCTTTAAATTGCTGGTGCAGTTTGAACATGCCTTGTGATGATCAGGAGCAAGCTTATCTTCCTTTCCTACTTTTGTCCTAGGTCCAACACGGAAAATGCCCTTGACTGCCAGTGCCATGGACTTTTTTCAACTCTTTGTCCCTGACAACGTGCTAAAGAACATGGTGGTCCAAACCAACATGTATGCCAAGAAGTACCAGGAGAGGTTCGGTAGTGACGATACCTGGATTGATGTCACCTTGACAGAAATGAAGGCCTTCCTAGGCTATATGATATCAACCAGCATCCACCACTGTGAGTCCGTTCTCAGCATCTGGAGCAGCGGCTTCTACAGCAACAAGAGCATTGCACTTATCATGACACAATCACGATTTGAAAAGATCCTGAAGTACTTCCACATTGTGGCCTTCCGCTCGAGCCAGACAACGCATGGCCTCTACAAAATCCAGCCTTTCCTGGACTCTCTGCAGAATGGCTTTGACTCTGCTTTTAGACCTTCACAAGCCCAGGTAAGAGTTAACCTGTTGGAAGGGAAGATGTAACTACAGCCTACATGCTCTAGTTTGTCTTGCTATGACTGAAAATGCAAAGCGTAGCTGCCTGTGGAAAGAGCCAGGGACTCACTGGGGGTTGCTAGGAGTGACCAGCCTAGACTTTAGTGGAAGGTGCTTGCCATTATGGTCCAGGCCTTCCAGGGAAGCAGCAGCACAGCTACCCACTCTCCCCACTAGTGGGAAAAGGCAAAATAAGCAGAGGGCAGGTGCCTTTGCTTGCTGCAGTTGTCAGCCTGTGCCTTGTGCCAGTCTTTTCTGTGATGATGGGTGATGCTCCCATGGAAGAACTTACTGCTGTGTGTGTATACAACCAAAGTGTCAGTGAACTGGAAATATTTCTAAACTATTATTTCTAAACTATAAAGTAAATGACTTCAGTGAATTTTCATTTCCAGGTACTATTAGGGGCATAACAGAAAGACATTCTGTAGGAAGACTGCTCTGGAGACTGGGCAAACAATGTAAGAAACTAAATATAGAAACTTAGGAAGCTAGAGGTTGTCTGACTACAGCTGTACAGCTGGAAAGAACTTTGTTCCAGTACAAATGAAATCCTTTTGGAATTGCTGGTCATGTTCGAAAGTCTGGAAAGAAAAAGGAATAAATGTGAAATATGTTGCTGCTTGAAATAACTTTTCAGTCAACTCTCTGTTTTCAGGATATAAACTGATCTCACACAGGCATTGGGAAAAGGTGTAATATGCACCTTCCTCTTTCCCCTCCTGTTTTCCCATTGAAGCATAACCTTTTCCCACTGCACAAAATAAATGGAGACATAGATACGTCATATCCATGGAGGTATGCCTAAAAATAAGATTGGGAGTGACCAGGGAGTAATTTGAGTTTTTCTGTCTATTTTACAGACGATAAAAAAGCATACCTGTATAATCCAGGACAACTCATCTGTCTAAAAAGCAATTAAGGTAGACATGGGAGAAGGGAAGCAGGAGTGTTCTCACTAAAACGTGCTAGCTAGATGCCTTTCCATCAAGACAGAACAGGCTGTTAGGAGCATGGTATTATTGGGACCAAGCTCCCATTAAGATATGAAATCTAATCCTTATCCCCTGACTTCAATGGGCACAAGATAAAGGGTTCAGAAATGTGATCACTGTGTCTAATGTAGATGCTTATAATGGTGTGCTGTGGGACATACTGAGAGTGCAAATCCATTAGAGGAAAAAATTTGATTTGCATGTATATCCCTTCTCCCTTTCCCAAATGAGGTCTGAAAACTGAATTGATGAAATCCACAGTGTCCTGTTTGCAGTGATAAAACCTCTAAATTTCCACAAGCGAAGCATATGCTTGTGCTAAGCTTGGTAAGGAGATTCTACTTTAAGAAAAAAAAAGGAGGAAAAAGTGGCAGCCCAATTCTCTTCCTCCCCCTTTCACTTCTGTGCCCCCTTTTCAGTGTTTACGTCAGTGATTTCTATACAGCATGTGTCAGTGGTATTGAGCGGAACAAAAAGCACTAAAATACTGCTTCAAAAATAACCGAGAGAAAGAAAAAGGTTTTGAATCTGTTGTTAAAAATAGTCTGGTGTAGCTTCAGTATCCTACTGAGGGACATTCCAGTCCTCCTCCCAGAAGGAGCCTTGTGCCTAATGCCCTTCTGGGTGCCATCAGGCAGAGCTGCACACTACCAGTCTCAAGGGACACGGACCCCATCTGCTCAAAACAGCAGGAGAGACCTCTCCCTGGAAATTGTCTTGAGTACAGATTAGCAGACTGCGGTAAACATCAATCCCAGGTTGTCAGAGTCAGTGAGGCTAGAAATAACAACCCAGTTGCATGGAAACAAAGGGAAGAAGCAAGGGGAAAGAACTATTCAGATGGGCTTTTGAGTGTGCTTGCAGTTTATCAAGAGGGGCCCAGGTTTCTGTAGTCAGCAATACCTGCAATCCCAAGTTCAAAATGCATTTGTTGCTTGATTTACACCTGTATTTTAAACAGAAGACTTTTGGCATCCAGATGGTTTGTGCCTGAGCCACAATCTATACTCAAACTTCAGGCCAATGTCCTGTAAATGGTATCAAGCAGAGGAATGATGTGGGCTGTTCAATGCTGACAGGCTGTTTGGGCTCGTAGATAGTCTTGGTAGTGCCTTTCTTCCATTGGCAATGTGCACTTGCAGAACATGGGTTAGGAGGCTGCCACATTAACTCATTCCTGTGGACAGAACCAACAGTCCTGGAGTCAGGCAGGCCGTGCATAACCTGCCTTCTTAGTTATTTCTTCTGTAGCTTTGCTATTTTCCTTTTGGAGAGCTAGAAAAGACTCTTTAAATTGAGCTTCAGTCTCAGAATTTTTTTTCCCCTCATGTGCAATCCCCCAAAAGTGCGCATGCAAAAATGACACTGCGCTTTTTATGAAAGCAGATTGAGGGGAGGGAGAGAATGAAGCCAATATACCAAAACAAAGAGAAGATCTAGTGAGTTATAATTATTTTGCTAAATATACTGAGCAAACAGAAGGAAATAATTACTTTCTAGTCTTTGAAGGCACTGAAAGTCCAGAACATGTAATTGTGTATCATCAGTGCAAGCTTCAATTTCAGAAATAACAGAAGTGGTATTCTGACCTAGATTGTATAAGAATGACAGGAATATTCTCCGCATCCTGTTCCTCCCCAACAACTCAAGTATAAATCGCTGCTGCCTGTACCTGAACAAGAAAAGCTGGAGTTAGGGATTCAGTTCCTAGAATCATCTCCTTGTTGCTTGGCTCCATGTAGCTTTGTAGCTATGCTACTATCTGCAAGTGGAAACCTGAAGACAGGGAAGGCACCCTGAGTGAGCTCAGAAGGTACCCTGCAACAAATTCAAGGGTACTCACCTGCCAAGGACATAAGCCGAATTCCAGAAAGAAGCAAAGATGTGGAAAATAACATCACTGCTCAAATACCCTTCTGTGCCTGCTGAGTATTTATGTGCTTGTCAGCAGGATGTGACTACACGAGATTGTTGTCGGTATGGGGGAGGTTGGGTATACAACTCTGCGCACTCTGCTCTTCCTTCTCCTGCCAAAGCATCTTCTCTTCAGCATCTTGGAACCAGACGTAGCTGGATCTGCCCAGAGAAATGTCGGCTGGGAGCAGTTAAGCACGTTTGTGCAGCTGACTTAAGTCCTTCAGGCAATGAGCTCCATAGCAGAAACAGAGCCATAACTCTAACCTCATCCTCTGAAGGCAGCATTTGCTCTAAGTGGGCTAGTTACTACGGGGCTTGTTTGATTTTTGCTCTTGGTGGTATCATAGTTCTTCCAAACCAGTTGACAGCATTAGGCAACAGCTCCTCTTAAAAAAATAAAGGTGTTTAAACAGGCCAATTAAATTGTAGCTATTCTGTGTTCTCAAGATTAAATGTTGATTTGGCATTGGGAATTTCCAAATTACAAGCCATATGCCTGTGTCTCAGTTTCCCTTTTTTCAAAAAGATCCTTTGTGAGTAAGGATCCTGGTCGCAGCCCAGGACTGCTCTGTTTTGAGGTTCTGTGAGCATAACACAAAGATGATAAGTATTCAGAGGATGCCAGCCATGTACAAGACACGGATCAAGACGGACAGGCAAAGGAACAGTAAGGATATTGAATAGCAAGGTAAATTTCTGATGTCCCGTAGTTCTTGGCCAGTTGTTCCTCTGCTGAAGCCAGACTTTAGGGAAAGTTTGACTGCAGAAAGTGATGGAGCTTTGTGGCTGTTTTTAAATGACCTCATGGCAATGGAGTGCTGTAAGAACTGATTTCCTTCTGAAGAAAGTCAATTGAAGGCTGAACAAATGGGCAGAGGATCTTGAGAGGAGCTTTAAATCATGGCTCCATTGGAGGTGGCAGTTAACCTTTGAGTATGGCAAAGAGGATCAGTAAAATATGGATAGGTTGAACCGGTCTTTGAAAGTGAAGGGAGGGAGCCTGTCTGATATATTGGAGAAGGAGAGCTATCAGGGAGAAATAGAGAGAAGTGATATGGCCTGCTGTGATGGCCTAGGAGAAGGGCTTACCAGCACGCATCATTAGGGCAGGGCTGCCTCATACTGAGGCCAAAAGAAGTGCTGCCAGGCGTCTGTGACCTTGGATGAAAACTTTACAGAGTGGGTGGGTTGGAAAAGCTGTGTATTTTAGAGCTGTTATTCGGAAAGCGTGGAAAATGCAGGCACTGCCTGGCTCAGAGCACCTTGCAGGGACCCGGGTGTAAGGTCTGACACTGAGATTCACGGATCTGCGGCAGGAGGAGAGGGATGGCTGCAAGGACCAGGAGAGGAGATAGCAAGGGGTTATCTTAGGGGAAAGGAGATGCTCTCAAATGTAGCGTAACAAAACCAGAACTGACAGTTGGACAGTCAAGCAGCAGAGATGTCAGATGCTTGCAGAGAATTCAGCTTGGGTGGGAGGAGCTCTGAGGCAAAGAAGCAGAAATTCAAGCTACTGTCGCAGAAGCATTAGGTGAATCTGCGCGTACAAGTGCAGTTCCCTGGGGGACCCTGCTCACAGCTGGATGGTACCCACCAAAAGCCAGAAACAAGGTGGGCTGGGGCAGTTTCTCCAGGGTTACAGACTGAAGAGACAGCAAGAAGACCTATCACGGTTGAAGATGGCTGTGAAGAACAGGAAGGAAAAAAAAAAAAGCAAAACCCACCAACAATGAACTAGCTGGGAGGGAGTGAAGCAGCTAGATGAGGAGTTCCAGAGACCTCAACTAAACTGGGGATTTAGGAGAAGAAAATGGGGGAGATTTCTGTGAAGAAACCCACAGATATCTTGCATCAAAAGAAGTCAGAATAGGAAGAAGGGAGAGCTTACAGAGTGAGTCAAAGATGCTGAAGAGGCTGCCAAGAATACGTGTGGGAGTCAATTAAGCTTGAAAGTAGATTTTTATCTAGGAAGAAGAAAAGCAGGGAAGAATGTGGCGTGGGGGCAGTAAGCCTGCTCCTGGAAAAGTGGGCATTGCAGACACAGCAGGAGTGGGGAAAGGGAAGGGAGCAAGTGTCACTGCATGGGGATTTGCAGAGAGATGAGTTTGAGATGATGGAGGGAGTATAAACTAATGGATCTGGCAAGGAGCAACACAGATAACTTTTGTCATAAGACAACCATGTCAGTGCCAGAAGCAACAGATTGCCTCCTTTGAAAAAGAGATGGGGATCGGCTGTCCCAGCAGCAGGCACAGCCCATACAGCATCCTGCTCGCAAAGTCCTTTACAGCTGTTGCACGTGGTGGTTGGGGAACGAACACAACACTCGTCCCCCCACCCTTTCTGTGGGAAGCAAGAAGTGCAAGCTCCAAGGTTGCCATTTCCATTTCTCTGCCTGTCCACGCTCCCTCATTTCAGCAAGAGCAAAGAGCAGTTCTGTAGGAGCTTCTGGGAAGCTTTGGTCTTTTGGAGAAATGCAAATGACATAAAATTTTGGGTAGGAGAAAGAAGAGGAGTCTCTGGGACCCAGGGGAAGGCTGGGCTGAGCATGGGCATGAATAAGGGAAGGATGAGGAGATGTTTTCAAAATTCAGATTTGCTTCCTAAATTTAAGACTGACAGGCCTTACTTTGACTTCGAAGGCGGAGGGAGTGCAAAAGGTATAAGCAGGATGCAGTAGAGCTGCTGTGAGGAGAGCTGATGCTGTGCTGCAGAAGAGGGAGCCAAGCTAAGGGCAGAGGGTAAAAAATGTCTTCAAATGACGCTTAGACAGCCTTTGCTTTCTGCTGCTCCTCATCCTACAGGGGGGAGATTACTGCAGCTCAACCACACCATCTGGCAAGTAAGAGGGGCTTTCCAAAGCTGCCGAATTCTTACCAGTGTATCCACCCCCATCCCGAGGGGCACGTTTGGGAAAGAAGAGCAGTGTTTCGAGGGGACCTGGAATGAGAGAGGAACGGGATTTGGCTCCAGTGGGGTAGTGGGGCAGCTGCAGCTTTAAGAACAAATAGCTTTGTATGCGACACTCCTTGCTTGCATCTGCATTTTGGTGTGTATAATTTGAGCATTTCACAAGAGTGCTTTCAGATGGTCCTGTGAATGTTTTATGAGCCGTTAAGAAGTGGAGTGCGTATAAATGAAAGCGTGCAGCCGCCGCTGCACAGAGAGGGCACAGATGCCTATTTTGGGCTGACAGAGTGATGTTCAGCAAACATCTTGTGTTCAGGAGGCCAGCAGCTGCTCATCAGTGGTGCTTAACTGCTTACCCACCGCATCTCTCCTACAGACAGTGCTCTGTGCTTTAATACAGCGTAGTTCTCATTTTGGCCACTGGATACATGCAGATGGGCACAAAAGTAACACGCGTGCATGCGTGGAAAGGATCCTTCTGAGGGCGTGACAGCCTCTGCCTTGTGGATGCCTCTATCAGAGCCCTGTCTCTGCAGGGTGATAGTCACTGGAAAAGAGTGGGCTCCTTTGGAGATAACCCATCTGACTATTTCACATGTCTTTAAGAAGGTTGAGCTATGTCCTACAGAGATGCGTCCCCCTTGTGTATTAGGAGGGCAGCCTCCCAGGGCTTGCTGTGATTTGGATGCAGATGTCCAGGTTTGGTCAGCTGAAACCTGCTTTCATCAGCTGAGACTTTTCAACAGCTTCAGAGCATTTGTGCTCTCAGAAGTCACTTGCTAGACAATTCACACACCGTGCAATCAAGGATGTGGACGCAATGCCCAGCTACCTGTGAGCTGGAGGGAAGTAACTGTGCTTTTCTGCAGGTGGTTTTTATGGTGTAATATCTAATAACTCTGGTGCAGAATTAATGGAGAGAAATGTAGCAAAACAGCTATAAGCAATCGGGAATCACATCTGGATGCAGAATGCAAAAATTGCTTCATTTCCACAGATTTTCATTGTGTTCTCCAGTCTACCTTGTCTTTTTCTATTCCCCTCTCTGGTCTTCTATCTTTCTATCTCCTTGTGTCAAATTTTTCAGCTCCTGAGGCAAGAGAGCCTTCCCTGAAGCTGCTGCCACCAGGAAAAAATGTTTTCTATCTTCTCACCACCTTCTTAAGTGGCAGCAGAAAATATATTTTTTTCCTTCACTTCTCTCCTTTTCTGTGTGTTTTCCTTTGCTGTAACCAAGTACCTTACAACATATTGTAGGGGGTGCTTGGGTGGAAGACATTCAGCCAAACAAGATTAAGCTGATGATAAAGTTTGGAGCAGCATGCCACTAACAATCTCCCCACCCTTAACACTGCCTCAATTCGGAGGGCTATTGAACTATAGCTGATGGTGAGAGGTAGAAGGCACTTGTAAAGCAGCCATCCACAACAGAGTGTGCTTGGCCAGGCTTTGTTTTTTTGTTGGGTGGCAGCACTGAACAAAAGAAATTTTGCATCTTTGTATGGAAGTGATGTGCACAAGCACAACACAAGGATTGTATTTGCTTGGAGGATTTCAGCAATCATGAACTCTTTGGTTTCTTTTTTTCTCCTCTTTTCTATCCAATTGCAGGTACTACACGAGCCCCTGATTGATGAGGATCCTGTTTTCATTGCCACATGCACAGAGAGGGAGCTGCGCAAGAGGAAAAAGAGGAAATTCAGCCTTTGGGTTCGGCAGTGCTCATCCACTGGTTTTATCTGCCAGGTGGGTTTTACCTCTTCAGGTGTCTTGATTTAGTTCCTAGCAGGCCCCTGAATGTGTTGCAGGAAGAATGATAACAGTTGCTTTTGTCCATAGCCTTGCCAGGGGCTACAGGCAGAGTTCAGCAAGGCTTCTTGTGCCTGCAGATACTTGATCCCAAGGAGGGTGATGAGAAGTTCCCAGTGCTCTGTTTGCTTGATGATTTAACTGAGGGTGCCTGTCTGTAACACAATCCATCTGGCTGCCAGTCCTAAGCTAATTAAATTGAAACAGAGTTAAAGGGTCCGTCTGTTTGTACATCCTAAGTTTATCGAAAGGTCTAGGTACTGTGACTCCTGTCCTTTCTAATGGGCCAGCTTCTTCCTCCAAGTATAATGTTGCGACTGTGATAGCCAGCCGTGTCCAGTAGGATAGGTTAATATGGTATCAAGATGTCCATTTTTCTGGGAGAAACTTAGTAACAGGGTTTCCTTTTACATCTCTTCACACCTCTCTACTTCTCTACCAAAGAAATAAAATCCGATGTGACTTCAAGATGAGATACAAACTTGAGTGGGAGGTGTGTTAAGAGATTTGTATTTAGTGTTGTAAAGCACTAGGGACAACTTTTGAGATTCTCAGATTCCCCAGTTGCTGGTGTATTTTTGAGCACTCTTGAGCACTCTTGAAAATCTGGCCACTTATTTTGGTACCTAAGGGTAAGGGGGCAGATAATTTCTGAACCTTCTTTTTCCCAAGAGCTTCCATGAAAACCTGGTGTCATGAATGCCCCAGAGTAGCAATGCTGAGGTGCTGGTAGCGCTGACCACCCAGGCTGAATGCATGTCAGACCTGTGGGGCCTGCGGATTTGCTGTGGTTGAATTCACAGTACAAGTTGAGCTGTGAATCGCTACAACTGTTTGAGTAGCTACGTAAGAAAAGAGCCTGTCTAGGAAAAAAAGGTTTGTACTTTCAGCAGTATTATTCACTGTAAGAAGGACATGAGGATCATACATTTTCTGTCCAGATTTTAACAGTTTTGTCCAAAACAAAATAGATTTACCTCATCAAGTGTGCCTTGGAAGTTTCCACTCTCCAGGCTTTTGGAAAGTCATTTGCTACACAGATGCAGTGTCCCTAATCACCAAGGTGAACTCCACCTGTCCCAGACACAGTTTATTGAAGGTGTACAGAGAGCACAAAGTTTGCTATCTCTACTGCCATGCTCCCCCCAGCCAACCACCACCAGACTAATAAGTCGTCAGAAATGCCAAAGGTTTCAGATGCTGAGCTGTAATTACGTTGCATCTCCCTTCCTGCCCATTGAGACAGTAAATTAATGGAATGTCAGTTGAAGCAGAGTAGATGCCCAGCACCACCCTAATCCTCTTTCTCCCTTAATGAAACAGATACTCACGCTTCACTTGCATCCGGATGACGTCCAGGATCTTCTTAACAGCCTTCTATTTTCATTCTGTGACTTGGCTCTGATTATCTCCATGCTAAAATGATTGTGTGAGAGGGACCTTAGAGAACCATGAAAAAGAATATACAGGAACATGAATATTCATACTAAAATGGAAATACTTAGTCTGGGGATGAGGTGATCTTCAATTAACATATGTTTGAAGAGCTATGTTCAGTTATATGTCACACCTCTGAAGGACTGTGATGAATCCAAAGCACTCATTTGGTGGTTGTTTAGTTTATTCGCTGTATTAAAAAGAGCTTATTTCTATGTTTAACATATGAAGAGAATTGACCTAAACAAGAAGATAGTCCGATATTTGAGCTCTGACTAGTCTGTCACTTACCTGATGTCAAAAAACTTAGGCGCCTACTTGGAAATACATAGAAATTCTGTAATGATGTCTGGATGAATTCTGTCCCTCGTTGTTTTTGCATGATGACATCAGAGATTATTTTATTTGGGATAAAAGATGACACCAAACACTTCATAAATCAAGCAGTTTCAAAAGTCTGAAAAATATATAGCTATAAAAAGGTGAGGCAGCCCCAGCAGAAGAAGGAACTGAACAATATGTGACTGGTTCTTGAGGATGGAAGCATCCTCAGGAGTTTCATGATACTCTTGGCCTAAAGCAAGATCCTCTTAACCTAAATAATTAGCCTGATGTGAAAAATCTCCATTCAGGGGTATCAATTTTTCCCAGTGATCTGCTTTTCTTACTGCAAAAAGGGTTGGCTTGTTTTCCTAATGTAAAGTTGGTATCAGTGATTTGAAGCCACATACTAAGCCACTCTGTGAACAGCTATTGGTACACAGCTCACTAGATAGTTGCAAATGTTAGGAGTTACAGCTCTTTGACTCCCTAAATTCTTCTGTTTGCTTGTTCTTGTGAATGAAAGTCTCAATTATGTTTTTGTTGTAATGAAACATTTCTCCTTGATTGCCTTTTTTTTAGGCAAATAGTGTTTGCTTAAACATCCAGCTCAGTAAGTCAATCATGGAAAAGAAGCAGCATTAAAAAATACTGCTTGTGGGTATAAGAAGGTGCAGAGGTATATACGTGCATAAAATAAATAGTGTACATACTTTAGACTACTTTTCCAACTGTGTTCTGTCATACGAATAACTCGACTCCACCCTGACAATTAAGTCTTTGTTTTAAGACAGGTGCTCAATTTCAGATTGTATCTCTGCTTCAGAATTTCCAAAGCAAAGCATCATTTTTCAGTGAATAACCTTGTTGTTGAGTATCTTTTTTTCACAGTCAACTGGCCAAGTGGGAACATGCAGGAAGGACAGATCATTCAAACATAGCAAATGCATGTCTACAGCAGCTTGAAACATGAGCAAAACCTTCCAGGGGTTTAGAATGAAAATAAATGTCTTGCTGCAGGAGGAATGACTATGGCAAAGTAGGCAGCAAAACTGCCCTGATCCTGTTGCCTGTTTCACCTGTCCTTGATGCTGGAGATCAAGGTGGCAGCGGCCAGTGCTACAGGACAGGACTTGAGGCCTTCTTATTTCTTTCTCTCTAATTCAGTAAGAACAGCAATCTCAATTTCCAGTACCTCAGGCATCCTGTTCTTCTCCATCTTCTTTGCTTTGCTCCTTTCCATGACAGAAGCCCACCTTCTAGTAGGCTATGAGACTCATTTGTAAAGCAGAAAAAGCTGATTCGGCTGACACTGCTGAGAAGCCTTAAACCAGCTCTGGGAATGCCCAGTGCTGGGGAGATTGCAGTCACTCCCATTAAAATAAATGACATTAAAATGAAATCAATGGTCAGGCAGTAACTGAAGGCACCCACTTTCTTCAAAGCATGTGGATTGGAAGTGGGAGGACTAGTGAGCTCCTGCCTCTGCCTCACATCTGGTCGGTGGCTGTGGGCATCCCACTCGAGGAATTTTGTCGCTGCATTTGTAGTATGAAGGTGGTAGTGCAGTTACCATCCGTGGCCACACAGAAGGCCAGGCTACATCAATGCTAAATATAGCAGAAGAATTATCTCTTTTGGCTGGCTGGCTATGCCGTGTTTAAATACAGGATTATTTAGGGTTTATACGGTGCTGGGGGAACCTAGTCTGGAAGGCACTGAATAGTCACAGTCCTGTTAAAGGCAGGATGATTATATTTGTTTCCCTTGAGAATGCTACACTAGGTAGCAATAGCACTTCAGGCTACCTTTTTCAGGATAACTCAGATCCAAGTACAAGCTCAGACAATGAGCTGACCATGCAATACATTTCCCTGTGTACCACTGAGACACTTTTCAAACTAGTATTTTAATACCTTGATTCCAGTTTCAATGGCTGCAGTAGCTTAGAAGTGTTTCCTTTTAAAGTATTTGCTGAGTAAGTATTTAAACCAAAACTGTAGATGTGTCAGTTGTGTTTTTTTTCACAGAAATCCTTGAACTCTTGCTTGCAAAAGATGCACCTGTATATGATTGGTAGGTCTCTCTTTCATTTTTGGTACAGCAATAGGGCTCATGAAAACCTGATGAGAGTTCCCAAATATTCAGGTTTAGTTATTTTGTACTGGTAGGACACATCATGTTTTCTCTTTCCTTCTCTTGTGTTCTTCATAAGGAACAAGTAAGAGTGTTTCCTTGTCATTTTTTTCAGCAGAAGGAAGCATAAACAGCTGCTGCCTTGCACAGAACACCACAGAGCCAGGCAGGAGGAGGTGTTCCCATAGAGCCTAGGCCCGTAGGCCCATGGCACAAGGACAACCCAAAAGGCAGTCCCTGGCCCAGCACCATTAATCAACAAAATGGAAGGCAATATGTAGATGGTAGAGAGCACTGCAAAGGGATGGTTGGGCAGTATTAATCACTATGATGGGCAGTAATGGAATTAGTTCATCAGCCTAATTATTTGCTTAGAAAACTGTGACGTCATGACAGAGGATGAGAAGAGATGACTTTGTGGATGCCTGTATCTTTTCTTGTTCTTTGGGATTCAATTTGTTCTCTGAGGCTATTCTGGGCAATATTTCCCTTCCCCCCCAATTTATGGGTTCTGCACTTGGTTTTATTCACTGGCAGAAAGTTCCAGCAGTAATGCATTTCATTTTCACTAATATCCTTCTGAAGCGTGTGTCTCAGATTTATGAAGTCCTTTAGGTCCTTGTGCAGGGCCTGAACTTGAGTTTCCATCTTCCACTGTTCATCCTGAAGAAGGGATGAGTCAGAACAGTTTCAGAAAAAAGAATTGTATTGCTGCAGCTTGAGACTTGCCACATTACTGAATTATTATCAGTTTGTACCATGGTGGTATTTAATGAGTTCAACCCGGATCAGGGTGGCCCGTGCTTGAGAGGGTAAGCAATTCAGGGACTTTTTTTCAAGTCCCTGAAGAGCTGCAGTGAGCTGCCTGAGGTCACTCCACGGACCAGTGGCAGGGCTGGGAATAAACCTCAGCTCTCCTGACTCAAACTGCTGTGCCTCATCTGCTACCTTTTGCTGCTTGTTTCTGCTGCAGCATGTCTTCATTTCTTATTGCATCATTCAACTGCAGCAAAAATAAAAGAAAACAATGCATATATCATACT